TTCTTACAGTATTAAACAGTAAATCACCATACACAACAATCCTTAATGTTACTGTTGCCTCTCTTGAGTGGGAGCCTTGCAGATATCAATGAATGTCTTAGTTTTTTTGTTTTTGTTTCTTTTCATTTTAAACATGTTTCTTTTGTACTTAAAGTTCTGCTTTGTTTTTAAATAAAAACAGATGTAGCACAACCAGAGTAAACAACCTACAATGTTGGCTTTTAAATGTTACAGCACATTCTTATGTTATGAATGTGGTGGAGGTTTGTGAACTCTTCCATTTTGGGTTAGACCATTGTTTGTTTGTTTAATATATTATTTTTAAACTTTTAATGATTGAGTTACTGGAAAGACAGCCCCACAGCATTGTACAACCCCCTGATTAATATTAATCCGTACTTCCTACCCCCCTTATTGTGGATGAATGCTCATCAAACCTCATTACTGATCACATTTCCAATTCCAACAGGACCGAATATCTTTAACCCCGATAGAACATGAAGAAAACCTGGGCGTGTGATTGTGTTGGACAGCGATAGGCTCCACACAACCCCGTTTTTTCAGTAGGTTCTGGTTAAACTGATGCAGTTCAATGGCGTTGAGTCAGCTCATTTGTACTCACATTGCGAACATCCATGTTTTATACAGAATATCAGAGTGTTTTAGCTTTATTTTAAACATGATTTTGTTTTCTTTCCACTGAATTCTACTACTTGCACTTCAGCTTTCTGATGTAAATAGGTCTCTTTTCTTAATGACACAATAACTGGGTTCTCACAAACTATTTTTATTTAAAAGACATACAGCCCTTGAAAACAAACAGAGATGCCCCACCAAAACTTTCATGCTATTTAAAGGCCATGCAGACCTTTTACATTGCCAAGTTTTATTATATCACATGCTTGTCCCTCACCATTCTCTAATTTAATCCTTTTAGATTTCTTACCATTAGTCTTTCCCCTAAGCAGGGTTCTGTAACTTTTTGTGTTGAGCAGGTGATCAAGATAATGCACTAAGTGGGTATCTTTCAGCTTGGTAATATTGTTTAAGTCACTGTCAGCATCTCGAGTGCTTTGCACAGCATTTACCAAGGTCATCCCTTCCGCTAAATTTTCTTGGGTTACACACAGACACTGCATTGCATAACCTATGGCAATAAGAGTGTTCAATAAGCTTTCCAAAAACAGGTCAGCACACAGGGCCTGGAGCTTGCAGTTTCTATCCTCTGACGTCCAAGTCACACAGTCATGATGCCACTGGCCTGGCTCGTCTACAACATAGCCCTCACAATCTTCAAAAGCGTCTCCCTAAGACAGTGACTAAGGACAGCATAGACAGAAACACATACAATAAACCACATTGCTCTTTTACACTCACAATATGGCACTGGCTCAGTTACTTCTATGCCAAGGGCCTTCTTTAAATCCATACAGCCATTATCCTCTTCACACTCGGTCTCCTCTTGAACAAGTTGTCTTGGTGCTGAACAAAACCAACTTGAGCCTGATTCCCCTTCGCTCTCTGATGCGAAGCTGTCCAGGGCCTCTGGGTCCTCTAGAAAGGCGGCAGCGAGATTTTCAGAAAAGAAACAGGTGCACTGGGTTTAGAGTTATGCAGGTCGGCTCCTAGCCCATTATACCCAATCCTCAACTGCCAGTTTTTACAGTCTATTTACCTAAGCAATGTCATCTCCGTTCACCTTGTCCAACTGCAGTGAACCACTGTCGCCCTCCTCTACAGGGGCAGATGCTGGGCGTTCATGATGCTCGTCAGTCTGCCTCACAAGCACTTGGGTCTTGGGGTCGGGTTCCAGTGCATCCATCAATGGCTGGGCCAAAGGGCTCCCCTCGGCAGCTCCTACCACCTCCTCAGAACGGTCATTGATGTAGCACAGTCTCTGCAGATGACTATGGACCCTCCAAGCTCAAACGAATTCCATGGTTCTCATGGGGGTGATGGCGGAGGCCATGTTTCCCCGTAGCATTTCCAGAAATCTGAAAAACAAGCTCTTGAAACAAGATGGCCTCCTCCACAGACAATGGGCTTCCAGGAGTGGTGCTGCTGACTGGCCAACCATTGAACTCCAGAGATCGAGAGTTCCGGCCTAGGCCCTTGTGCTAGACCTGTTCTGATTAGTATACATTTCCTTTCCAGGAGGGACTATGCTGACTATTAGAGGGTGGTGGGAGAAGTTCTTCAAGGGGTCACATGACCCTCTTCCAGAAAGGTCTCCCCACAGCTGAACTTGCCTTGATTGGTCAAATCTACTCTCGGGGAGCTCCAACAGGGCTGAAACCCACTCTGATTAATTGACGATGGGGGGAAGGGTTCCTAGCAGGGTCACATGCCACCCCTTGCTTCGAGTCATGCGTCAGTCTCAACTCCGCAAGTAATACCACAGGAGGAGGGGCACAGGTGGGTGGGACCTTAGGAGTCGGGGTGCAGTCACTGTTTGCTGTACCCCTAGACTACTCTCCTGGTTAACCACTCAATGGTACTTCTGTGACTGGCTCATGGAAGGGTGGAAATGTCTGGAGGAGGAATAGCAAGAGAGTCTCTGAGGACAGGAAACATAGGACCCAACCTCCGATTCGGAAGACGATGATTCTCCTGCCGCTAACCACAGAGGTGCAGTTTCAGATAGTGCCAGCAACCAGTGCCAAAGTGGAGAGGCCCACAGAGAGGACAGTACGAAAGACTGAGCCATCAAGGGTAAATGAGGCTGGCACGGTACTGAGTGTTGTACCAATCCTGCTGGTTCTCCCATGTCCAGCAACACCTCTTGTACTGCCAGCGATACTGTCCCCAACAGGGCCAGGAGGTCCCTGGCAGCCGTAAATGCCGCCGGCATGGTTGGTACCAAGATAGCAAGAGTGCAGTGTGGTGCCACAGATGTGGAAGGAGCTCCTTCTGGCTCCAGACTCGATGAAACCTGCCCACGTGCTGGAGTCAACGGTACCATCTTCTGTTGTACAGAAGCAGCTTGGGCTTAGACTGCACTCTCCACTTAGCCCCCTGCCCAGCAGATTTCTGTGTCAAGCCTCTCCCACTTTCAGCAGTCTCAGGACTCAGGTACATAGGAGGCACACTCCTCACCAATGCTGAGGCACTCAGTGCCAAGTCTGACCAGCCTGGCTCAGATGGAGGTCTCAAGACCACCTCGATAAGTAGAAACTTTCTTCTACAAGGTTTAAAAGTCCCTGCAAATTTGGCAATGCCCTCCAATCTGAGCTTCCCCAAGGCACTTCAAGCACCTTGAGTGCAGGTTGCTCACAGGCATAGCCTTACTGCAGGAAACACAGGGCTTGAAGCTTGTTAACAGGGGCATCCCTTGGCACCAGGAGACAAACGAAACCCTGAGATCGTTAAAAAAAATTCTAACTAATTAAATCCTAATAACCTTAATAACACTATTTACAATACAAGAAAAAACAGCCCACTAAGAGAACTTGCAAATGCAAGAAGAGCCGTTCCAGCAACCAACCCAGGCAGTAAGAAGGAACTTGCGGGGTGGGGGCTCAGAGTCAGCTGCATGCTTTACACAGATGCCAGCAGTGTGTGGCAGCAGAAGGTGCTTGAGCCGCCCTGACAGCTACCACTGAGCGAAGAAATGTCTGGTGATCGTGCGTAGGGCACACACAAACCAAGAGAGAAATGCACACTTGCAATCACTCGAAGAAGAACAGGGAATTCAGGCCACACCTACTGAATGGGGAACTTTATAATGGAAAGCATAGACTCTGAAAGGGATCATAGCAGACAAGCAGCTCACCATGAACTCCCAGTGTGATGCTGTGGCAAAAAGGGCTAATGGGAACTTTGGCTATATAAAAAAAGAGAGGAGTGAGAATGAGCAGGGAGGTGATTTTTACATCTGTATATGGCATTGGTGAGACTGAGCTGAGAATAATGCATCCAGTTCTGGTATCCATATTTTAAACAGGATGTTGAAAAATTGGAGAGAGTGCCAAAAAAGACCCACAAAAATTATTCAAGAGCTGGGAAAAATGCCTTATAGGGAGAGACTTAAAAAGCTCAAATTGTTTAGCTTATCCAAAAGAAGATTGCAAGGTGACTTGACTATGGTGTATAATTATCACCTTATGGAGAAAATACCAGATGCTAGAGACTTCTTAAAGCTAGTGGAGAAGGGCAGAACAAGAACCAATGGCTGGATGCTGAAGCCAGAAAAATTCAGATTGGAAATAAGGCCCAAATGTTTAACAGCAATGGTGACCCAAGGGAAGTGGTGGAGTCTTCTGTGATGCTGACAGACAAGATAGCTCAGGCCAAAGTCCCAATGTCTCAGCTGAATACTGACATAGCTGAAACCAGCTTTTGGCTTACCCATGTGTTAGTATTGTTAACTAGGTATTAGAATGATAAGAATGTGTTTAGACTTCATTGAATGCTTGTGAGTTGCAGCCCCTCCCCACCCCCCGCTCTGATCTGGTCCCATCTGCAGTGGCATCCTCACCCAACTCCTAGCCCCGCCCCTGGCCCTGGCCCCAGCCTCCGGCCCAACTGCTGCTCCGCTCCCAGACCCGCCCCTGCCCTTAGCCATGTCTGCTGGCTGCGGCTCTGTCCCTGGCCTTGGGGCAGGGCTGGGAGTGTAGCCACACCTGGCCGTGGGCCCAGCTGCCAGCCCCCACCACGGCCTGTCTGCGGTTCCGCTCCCACCCCCAGCCCCTGGCCCCAGCCTCAGCTCTCTTACCCCATGTCTCTCTCTCACGGCCACAGCTCCGAGGGGCACAGACAAGGGCACGGGGGGCATGGCCCCCCAATGTTTGGAGACCACTGCTTTAGATAAAACACCAGTGACGGGGTTCAGTGCAGGGGGCTGGACAGGAGTCTCTGGCTGTGCTATCGCAGGTCAGCCTAGGGGGCCTAATGGCCCTGTCTGGCCTTCAACTCTAAGTTTATGCCAGGGTCAGACTGAGAAAGGGCAGGCCAAGGGTGTGAAAGACTCAAAGCCTTCAGCCTCCTTTTCCCTGCCTCACCTTCATGACGTTGCTGACGAACGCTGTGACCTCCTCCTGCACGATGGAGACCAGGTTTTGGCAGGTCAGGAGGTTCACCAGCTGGGCCAGGCTGCCCAGCCTCTGCATCCAGAACTCGGCCTCCTTCAGCCTCCTCTCCAGGTCCCTGTGGTGGACTCTCTGCTGATACAGGGACTCCTTGGTGATGTAGAGCTTGTAGCTCTGCACTTGGGTCTGCAGCCCATGCACCATCTTGTAGGTGTCATCCCGCACCTGCAAGGACATGGACACATGGGGGCTGAGAAAGGCAGGTTCCCTGCACAGACCCATTTCCCCGTCAGTGCTCAGGGTGGGATGGGGAAGGAGTGAAGGGAGCTGCCCAAATCTCTCCCAGCTATGGAGCTCCACATTATTGCAGGAGACTCTTTCTTGCTGCTCTGGGATGGAGAAAGAGGGTCCTAAAAGGTCTCTGATAGAAACATCAGGCATGGCGGAAGCACTGTTCCCTGATTTGACTGGGGAACACAACCCTGAGAGTTCCCAGAGCTTTCCTAGCCAAACCAGGACCCTAAAAGCCTTGAATTGTAGGGTCCATAGGGCAGGCGTGGAGCTTCAATGGAAGAGGAGGACCTGTGGAGGGGAACTCCCAGGTACTCCTCTCCCAGCACTGGAAGAGCATTATAGGGAGCAGGGCAGGAGCACTGGCTGTGGGGTTGTGGAGCTCCTGGGCAGGGGCACCGGCCGCGGGGTTGTGGAGCTCCTGGCCATTCCCCGCAGGAGCTGTAGGGAGCCGGGCAGGGGCACCGGCCGCGGGGTTGTGGAGCTCCTGGCCATTCCCCGCCGGAGCTGTAGGGAGCCGGGCAGGGGCACCGGCCGCGGGGTTGTGGAGCTCCTGGCCATTCCCCGCCGGAGCTGTAGGGAGCCGGGCAGGGGCACCGGCCGCGGGGTTGTGGAGCTCCTGGCCATTCCCCGCAGGAGCTGTAGGGAGCCGGGCAGGGGCACCGGCCGCGGGGTTGTGGAGCTCCTGGCCATTCCCCGCCGGAGCTGTAGGGAGCCGGGCAGGGGCACCGGCCGCGGGGGTTGTGGAGCTCCTGGCCATTCCCCGCAGGAGCTGTAGGGAGCCGGGCAGGGGCACCGGCCGCGGGGTTGTGGAGCTCCTGGCCATTCCCCGCACGAGCTGTAGGGAGCCGGGCAGGGGCACCGGCCGCGGGGTTGTGGAGCTCCTGGCCATTCCCCGCAGGAGCTGTAGGGAGCCGGGCAGGGGCACCGGCCGCGAGTGGAGCTCCCGTCAGAGGGCACTGTAGGGAGCAGGGCAGGAGCACTGATTGTGGAGCTACTGGTACTGCAGTTCTGACCCCTCCCAGCAGGGGGCACTCCAGGAGAGAAGCCAAGGGGCACTGGGAGTACAGGTCTCCCTGATGCTCCAACCCTGCCTTACCAGCTCGAGAATGGCTGAGCAGAGGGTGAGGAACCTCTTGAGCAGGCCTCGGGCACGGCCATTCTCTTGGGCCAGGGCCTGCTGTAGCTCCGGGAAGGTGTAGCATTTGGAGTCATCCTGGGGCAGCCAGTGTACAGATCTTAGCTCCTGCAGGAGTCTAGAAGGAAGCAGGATCCATCAGGCAGGGCCATAGGAACAGCCAGCCTCACCTGGGCACTCAGCCCCAGACAGTCGAGGATAGGACCAGGAGTGTAGAAGCCGGAGAGTCCCTCCTGGGGTCCAGTCCAGTAACCCTGAGCTCACTGGCTGGGGCCTCAGCCCTTCATCCCCAAGGCTCTGCTCACAGCACCACTGAAGCAAATGTCCCCTGTGAGCCTGAAGGGAGTCAGGAGTGTGAAGACAACTGGCCCCTGAAGGGAAGAGCCCCACAGAAGCTCCTCAGGCCCCTGCTTGGGGAGAAAGCACTCAGTGAGGACCACTGGAGAACCTAAAGAGGCGGGGGGGAGGGGGTGCGTGTGCTCTGTCTTCTGCATAACCCAGGATAAAGGGTATCAGGTATATTTAGGACAAAGAGGTGAAAGGTAAGCATTACTGAATGTTGTAGCATTAGCATGTTAACAATAAACCGGCTGAGCCTATGTGTATGATCTTGATGCTGCTGTTTTGAAAATAACTGCAGAGTTTCGACACTAATGTCTCTGAAAGATAGCAGATGCCACAAGACAAACATTGCTAGTCAGGGTGAAATGTTCGAGACTTGCTTCAGGAAACCACCTGTTACTACCATGCTAAGGTGATGTAAATATTAATGAGTTAGCTTATGAAAAATGGGGCACCCCAAAAGTAGTGAGGTGTGGAAGTTCAAATACAGAAAAGGGGTTCAAACCTTCATAAATATGTCTGAACCACAGTGGGTGTATCCCAGCCTGCGTGCCTTGTCTGGGGGAGATGCCAGGAGGACACCCACTGGTAAGGACTGTTAGGATACAGATATTCAGGCTTGTCTGTAAAGGTCTATACTCTAAGAATTTAGGTGTATTCTTATCACTTGGCTAGTTATAGAGGTATAAAAGAAAGAATCAAAATCACTGTCTGCCGGTGTAAGGTCCTTCTCTTACTGTGACAGTCTGAGGCCTTGTTCTTAGGCTAAGGCCTTTGGCTAAGCCACAGATGCAGCCATAAGCTGGGAAGCGACCGGTCACCTCCTCACATCCCAAACTAGTCACATTGAAATAAGGTGCTATTGGGCTGTTAGGAATACAATCCTGTCTTGATAATGCCTATCGCCTCCAGAGAAAGGGAAGTGCCTACAAGATGTAAAAGGAAACCTAGTTTGATAGCATCCTGTCTGGCAAGAACTCACTTATCAATAGCTGGGATGTGAAATCCTCACTTCTGTGTTTGTTCTATCACTGTAGTCCCCATTATGTATGCACCCGATGAAGCGAGCTGTAGCTCACGAAAGCTTATGCTCAAATAAATTGGTTAGTCTCTAAGGTGCCACAAGTACTCCTTTTCATTTCCCCATTGTTTGTCTGTATAAACTCTGTCTGGTTCTGGGATTGTTTCTGTCTGCTGTATAATTCATTTTGCTGGCTGTAAACTCATTAAGGTGGTGGGATATAATTGGTTAAATAATTATGTTACAATATGTTAGGTTTGGTTAGTTAAATTTCAGTAAAATGATTGGTTAAGGTATAGCTAAGCAGAACTCAGGTTTTACTATATAGTCTGCAGTCAATCAGGAAGCGAGTGGGTGTGTGCGTGTGGGTACTGGGAACAGGGAATGGGGGTGGGGAAATTGGAATCATGTTTGGCTAAGGACAGGAATGGGAACAGGAACACAGGTGTAAGGCTCTGTGGTGTCAGAGCTGGGAAGGGGGACACTAAGGAAGGAAACTGGAATCATGCTTGCTGGAAGTTCACCCCAATAAACATCGAATTGTTTCACCTTTGGACTTTGGGTATTGTTACTCTCTGTTCATGCGAGAAGGACCAGGGAAGTAAGTGGGTGAAGGAATAAGCCACCTAACAAGGACGATGACGAAGAAGACTAACACCATTCTGTACAGGTCTCTCTCTCTGCTTTACCAGACTGCAGTTGTACGGGGAGACTTTAGCAAACCAGTAAAGTGCCTGAAACCACTATGACTTATTGCTAAAAGCAGCCAAGTCAGCAGGCTGTAAATTGGACATTCAGCAGTCTCAGTTTAATGTTTTTTGGGTGCCACAGAGAGGGCAGCTTGACCCCGGGTCCTTCCTGATAAGAATTGTGTTGAAGTTGCTGATACATGCATCTTAGAAGAGCAGGATGTGCCCCAGGAATGTCTATTGGGGCCTCAAGCCTGCAAACTCTGGAAAAACCCACACCTGGTTAATCAATAATCAGAAGGAACCTCTTGCTTGACCATTGAAACTGCTTACTTAACAAGTTTTCTTTAAGGGACATGTCATTCTATTACTAATGTATAAATAATGGGGAAAAGTTTGAGGTGGTGGGACTCTTCAGGACTGGACTCTCCCTCTGGCTGCATCTTATGTTGCCCACCGGTAGACGGGCTGCTGCTGTGCCACTCGAGAGCCACACTCAGCTTTGGTAATTATCAAGGGTTGGGGGTGTTTTACTAACCTGTTGCGGACGTGTGTATAAGTGCTTGAGACTAAATAAAGTTCAGCTTTAAGCAAAAGCACTCTTGCGTTGTCCTGTTTGTGCCAGTCATCTATCGGTCGGCCGGCCATGTCTCCCCTGATTTATTTCCTGACACCACCTCACACAGAGTAAAAGTTACCAAGAGCTTTGGGTTGGTAACACAGTGTGTGCATTGTTTGGTTGATTAATAAAGGGAATTATTATGGAAAGAACACTATGGGAGTCTCTGCTGTGCACCATTGGGACCCTTCTGTGGTAACCTCTCTCCTGCAAGCTGTCTCGGAGGCTGGCCCTTGGGGTGGGAATTTGTTAAAGTAACCACGAACTATAGATAAGGTTACATCCAGGGCCTTGGGCCTCCAGCACGGGGTGTTCTCAGCTGGGATTCCAAGGGGAGCGGCACCTGGACAGGGGCTGTTCTGAGTGGGGTACAGCTCTCAGTTAAGGTCCTGGCTGGGGCAGGGACACCCCTCCCACACACACATTCTCCCTCTTACCTGGAAATGTGGAGCAGTGCTGCTCCAAAGTGGGGAACAGCCAGGAGCAGGTAGCTGCCCAGGGCTTCCTGGCGTGTTAGCAGCTGCAGGTGCTTCACATTTTGCCACCAGCTATGGGGGAAGGAGAGTAAGACTAGGAGCTGTGCCATGCTGAGAGGAGGGACTAGCTCAGGGAGGTGAGACACTGCACATCAACAAGGGGCTCCATCCCGACCTGCTGCTATCGGTCCCACCCTGTCCACATCCCTGGGCTCCAGCCCATGTGCCTGCAGCAAGAACCATCAGGTGCAGATCCTGTAAGCTGCTAATGGGGTTGCTAATGGGGCCCAACCAACCTCAGGTCCTGCTCCAACACGTGCAGTATAGGTCCCCTGCATCCAGGGCTCAGGCCCCAGGCACCATCCTCCAAGCACAGTGTGGAGGGTGGTATCTCTCAGGTTCCTCTGCAGTGCCCTGGGCCACTCACCAGGCAAAGGCTTTGCGGACAAGGTAGTGCCTGAAGAAGGGGATGCACTGGAGTAGCTGCCACAGCAGGGCCTCTCGGTGCCACTCTCCGAGTGTCAGGGTCTCAGCGCCTTCGTCTGGGTGCACGTGCAGCACCCCAAAGGGGGAGAAGACATAGTGCTGGGGGTTGGCCTGCCGCTTAGGAACCACAACCAGGTCGTAGGGCCTGTATCGAGAAAGAAAGATACCAAGGTATATAAAGTCTGCTGCAGTTTCCACGGTATGCATCCGATGAGGTGAGCTGTAGCTCACGAAAGCTCATGCTCAAATAAATTGGTTAGCCTCTAAGGTGCCACAAGTACTCCTTTTCTTTTTGCGAATACAGACTAACACGGCTGTTACTCTGAAAGCCTATATGGAAACAGGAAGCAGGGCCTGGCTGCTCCACCCATCCACATACCCCTGCCCCTGCCGTGGGGAGGCCAGCAGGGCACAGAGCCCTGCAGCACCACTGGGGCACTGGGCCTGACATCCCAGAGGCTAACACAGCACTGGAGAAGTGCCTGGTAGGGGCAGTGTGGGTGCAGAGGGCTGAGTTTGGAGTGCAGTTACCTGAAGTGCCTGTTGGGGGCAACGTTGAGGTAGACAAAATTGATTTTCCCCAGGTGCCTGTTCCTCACAAAAATCTCAGCAGCCCGGAGCCCCGTCAGGGACTGCCAGGAGAAGCTCTGCTCTCCTTCCACCACCTGTGGGGTGGGCGTGGCAGCCTCTCCGCCTGGGTCTGGAAGGAGCCTGCAGTGAAGACAGCATGACTGTGAGAGCTCCAGGGCAGAGGTCACCCCATGTCCCCCTCCAGTGCGTGGGCAGGGGGAGAGCAGCTGGGATGCCACACTCAACATGGCTAGGATTTGCACCTTCACAGTGCTGGAGAGACACTCACTCCCCAGGGGGGATCTGTACCATTACACCATCACACAGGGAGGACTAGAAAAAATATCTAGGACTCCTGGCTGCCCAGTTCCCCTGAGTGAACTCCCAAGCTCCCACTCCCCTGTCAGAGTTGAAAACAGAACCCCAGGAGTCCTGGCTCACAGTCCCCACCACCAGCTGGCAGGCTCTCCAGTCACAGTGAGCTCTGGGGCATACAGTCCAGCATCCCTGTGGCCCTGGGGAGGTGGGAGTGTGGGTGATCCCTGTTCTGTGCGGGACCCACAAGAACAGCCCATGCCCTGGGGGAGGACATTGAAGCCTCGAGCCAGGATTTGGCGAAGGAAGCCCTTACCTCGGCTCAGCACAGCAATACTTCACAGGCACCTCTGTACCAAGGGCAAGGGACATGAGACCCAGGCTTCTTGTCCACTGGGTCTCCTCCTGAGCCAGCTCCATGCCCACCAGACCCACACTTCTCTGCAGCTGCTGCAAAGACACTGGGCCTGGCTGGCACACAGCTGCTGGTTCTTCTACCTCCTGGTCTAGGACAAAGAGGCAGGGCTGCCCTGCGAAGGCTGGCTCTGAGCCAACAGGGAGCAGATTGGCTGGGGGCACTGGATCCCTGTAGTGTGCAGCAAGTGGATGGGCAAACAGCTCCGAGTGGTCCCTGGGGAAGGCCTGGCCCATGGCTCCTAGGACATCCATGTCAGACACGAGGGCCTGACTTCGGTAGTACTGGTAACAGAGGCTCTCCAGGTAGGGCAGCAGCTCCTCCCGGCAACGCAGCTGTTCCCGGAAGGGGCTGAGGAGCTGCAGGACATCCAGTAGGTGCAGCCAGGCACTTCGGCTGCTCCTCTGCAGCACCTTCACAAACACAGCGATCAGCTCAGCCACGAGTGCGTCCAAGTGCTGGGGGTCAGGCCTCCCTGTCTCTTGGAGCTGGGCAGCAAGGCGCTGGCGGACACCCCAGGCCCAGCCACGCTCCACTGGCTGGGAGCTCCTGGGCTCTCTGCCACCTGCAAAGGGACAGAGTCATGAGATAGGGCCAGGAGAAGTGAGCAAGTGCTCAGCCCAAGGCTGAGGGCGCCCCCCACCCTAGCCCCCTACACTGCCCACACCCTACTGGACTGTATTGCGAGGTCAGATTCCCTCCCACAGATGTGATCTTTGACGGCCTATCTGTGAGCTTCAACAGGATCCTCGGATACACAGTGATGATGATTGTGAAGCTTGGTTGAGGTGGAGGAGTCAGAGGGTGGGATATTTCCCGGGGAATGCCTTACTGCTAAATGATGAACTAGCAATTGGCTGAGCCCTAAAGGGTTAACTCTCACATTCTACAAGGCAGCAGGAAAGGAAGGAGGGCAGACAGAGACAGAGACACACACCTTGTGTGTGTGAGAGAGATGTGCATTTCCCCTTTAAGTACACTGCCTTGTTAATTAGATCAGCAAGCTGAGCCACAGCTGCTGCCAGGGCAAGCTCCCTCCCTCCTGTCATGTGTCCCTGCTCTTATGGAAGATGGGGTAAGCGGGGTGCAGGAGCAGGGGGGAGGGAGACACCCTGACATTAGTCCTCCTCTTCCCCCCCCCAGCAAGCAGGAGTCTTGGGGAGCAGCTCCAAGGCAGAGGGCAGGAGCAGCACACGGCAGTGGGGGGAGGGACAGCTGAACTGCGGGCAATCGATAGCCTGCTGGGCAGCTGCTGCACAGGGAACTTAGGGGAGCGGGGAGCTGATAGGGGGGCTGCAAGTCCACCCTAGTTCCAACCATCCACCAGCTAGCTGCAATGGGCTGCTCTTCCTGCAAGCAGTGGACAAAGCAGGCGGCTGCCAAATGATGTTAGAAGGGAGCATTGTACTACTTTAAACGAGCATGTTCTCTAATTGATCAGCAACATAACAACAAAACAGCGTTAACCGGGACGACTTTAAATGAGGAGTTCCTGTATATTCCTGAGGTGCAAGGCTGGGAGCTGGGGGAATTCGGCTGGTGCCTTTCTCCGAGTGATTCATGACCAGCTCTGGGAGCATTCATGCAATCTAGCTGCGTGAGGGGCTCCACCTGCTGTTGTGCTGGGTGATCACAGGGCCTGGAGGGGTTTGCTGCTTGTCACTAGCAAAGCAGGGTTAAGGCTGCACCCTGGGGATCTCATCACAATGAGCTATTGGGGTGTTGGCATTAGAACAGAGATGCCGCCAAATTCACTTCTGACCTCACCTGTAGCACAACAACCCCCAGGGCAAGCCTGGGGCAATGGGGCCAGCACTGACCATGAGGAAAGATCTCCCCCTAGAATCATAGAATATCAGGGTTGGAAGGGACCTCAGGAGTCATCAAGTCCCACCCCCTGCTCAAAGCAGGACCATTCCCCAATTAAATCATCCCAGCCAGGGCTTTGTCAAGCCTGACCTAAAAAACCTCTAAGGAAGGAGATTCTACCACCTCCCTAGGTAACGCATTCCAGTGTTTCACCACCCTCCTAGTGAAAAATTTTTTCCTAATATCCAACCTAAACCTCCCCCACTGCAACTTGAGACCATTACTCCTTGTCCTGTCCTCTTCCACCACTGAGAATAGTCTAGAACCATCCTCTCTGGAACCACCTCTCAGGTAGTTGAAAGCAGCTGTCAAATCCCCCCTCATTCTTCTCTTCTGCAGATTAAACAATCCCAGTTCCCTCAGCCTCTCCTCATAAGTCATGTGTTCCAGACCCCTAATCATTTTTGTTGCCCTTCGCTGGACTCTCTCCAATTTATCCACATCCTTCTTGTAGTGTGGGGCCCAAAACTGGACACAGTACTCCAGATGAGGCCTCACCAAAGTCGAATAGAGGGGAACAATCACGTCCCTCGATCTGCTGGCAATGCCCCTACTTATACATCCCAAAATGCCATTGGCCTTCTTGGCAACAAGGGCACACTGCTGACTCACATCCAGCTTCTCGTCCACTGTCACCCCTAGGTCCTTTTCTGCAGAACTGCTGCCGAGCCATTCGGTCCCTAGTCTGTAGCGGTGCATTGGGTTCTTCCGTCCTAAGTGCAGGACCCTGCACTTATCCTTATTGAACCTCATCAGATTTCGTTTGGCCCAATCCTCCAATTTGTCTAGGTCCCTCTGTATCCTATCCCTTCCCTCCAGCAAATCTATCACTCCTCCTAGTTTAGTACCATCCGCAAATTTGCTGAGAGTGCAATCCACACCATCCTCCAGATCATTTATGAAGATATTGAACAAAACCGGCCCAAGGACCAACCCCTGGGGCAATCCACTTGATACCGGCTGCCAACTAGACATGGAGCCATTGATCACTACCCGTTGAGCCCGACAATCTAGCCAGCTTTCTACCCACCTTGTAGTGCATTCATCCAGCCCATACTTCCTTAACTTGCTGACAAGAATACTGTGGGAGACCGTGTCAAAAGCTTTGCTAAAGTCAAGAAACAATACATCCACTGCTTTCCCTTCATCCACAGAACCAGTAATCTCATCATAGAAGGCGATTAGATTAGTCAGGCATGACCTTCCCTTGGTGAATCCATGCTGGCTGTTCCTGATCACTTTCCTCTCATGCAAGTGCTTCAGGATTGATTCTTTGAGGACCTGCTCCATGATTTTTCCAGGGACTGAAGTGAGGCTGACTGGCCTGTAGTTCCCAGGATCCTCCTTCTTCCCTTTTTTAAAGATTGGCACTACGTTAGCCTTTTTCCAGTCATCCGGGACTTCCCCCGTTCGCCACGAGTTTTCAAAGATAATGGCCAACGGCTCTGCAATCACAGCCGCCAATTCCTTTAGCACTCTCGGATGCAACTCGTCCGGCCCCATGCACTTGTGCACGTCCAGCTTTTCTAAATAGTCCCTAACCACCTCTTTCTCCACAGAGGGCTGGCCATCTACTCCCCATGCTGTGATGCCCAGTGCAGCAGTCTAGGAGCTGACCTTGTTAGTGAAGACAGAGGCAAAAAAAACATTGAGTAAATTAGCTTTTCCCACATCCTCTTGTCACTAGTTTGCCTCCCTCATTCAGTAAGGGGCCCACGCTTCCCTTGGCTTTCTTCTTGTTGCCAACATACCTGAAGAAACCCTTCTTGTTACTCTTGACATCTCTGGCTAGCTGCAGCTCCAGGTGCGATTTGGCCCTCCTGATTTCATTCCTACATGCCCGAGCAATATTTTTATACTCTTCCCTGGTCATTTGTCCAATCTTCCACTTCTTGTAAGCTTCTTTTTTGTATTTAAGATCAGCAAGAATTTCACTGTTAAGCCAAGCCGGTCACCTGCCATATTTACTATTCTTTCGACACATCGGGATGGTTTGTCCCTGTAACCTCAACAGGGATTCCTTGAAATACAGCCAGCTCTCCTGGACTCCTTTCCCCTTCACGTTAGTCCCCCAGGGGATCCTGGCCATCCGTTCCCTGAGGGAGTCGAAGTCTGCTTTCCTGAAGTCCAGGGTCCGTATCCTACTGCTTACCTTTCTTCCCTGTGTCAGGATCCTGAACTCAACCAACTCATGGTCACTGCCGCCCAGATTCCCATCCACTTTTGCTTCCTCCACTAATTCTTCTTGGTTTGTGAGCAGCAGGTCAAGAAAAGCTCCCCCCCTAGTTGGCTCCTCTAGCACTTGCACCAGGAAATTGTCCCCTATGTTTTCCAAAAACTTCCTGGATTGTCTATGCACTGCTGTATTGCTCTCCCAGCAGATATCAGGAAAATTAAAGTCACCCATGAGAACCAGGACGTGCGATCTAGTAGCTTCTGCCAGCTGCCAGAAGAAAGCCTCATCCACCTCATCCCCCTGGTCCGGTGGTCTATAGCAGACTCCCACCACTACATCACTCTTGTTGCTCACACTTCTAAACTTAATCCAGAGACACTCAGGTTTTTCTGCAGTTTCGTACCAGAGCTCTGAGCAGTCATACTGCTCCCTTACATACAGTGCTACTCCCCCACCTCTTCTGCCCTGCCTGTCCTTCCTGAACAGTTTATAACCATCCATGACAGTACTCCAGTCATGTGAGTTATCCTACCAAGTCTCTGTTATTCTAATCACGTCATAATTCCTTGACATCACCAGGACCTCCAGTTCTCCCTGCTTGTTTCCAAGGCTTTGTGCATTCATATATAAGCACTTGAGATAACCTGCTGATCGCCCCTCATTCTCAGTATGAGGCAGGAGCCCTCCCCTCACAGACGTTCCTGCCTGTGCTTCCTCCCGGTATCCCACTTACCTCAGGGCTTTGGTCTCCTTCCCCCGGTGAACCTAGTTTAAAGCCCTCCTCACTAGGTTAGCCAGTCTGCTCGCAAAGATGCTCTTCCCTCTCTTCGTAAGTGGAGCCCGTCTCTGCCCAGCACTCCTCCTTCATGGAACACTATCCCATGGTCAAAGAATCCAAAGCCTTCTCTCCGACACCACCCTCTAAGTCCCTGTACTCCCCCGGTTGTGGCAGGAGAGGTGAAGGCTCCTTACCTGGGCCAGCAGCAGCAGGGAACAGACTGGGGAGAGTCGGGGAAGACTGCATGGTATCTCTGTGCACACAAAGCTGCTAAAGACAAAGGCCTGGTCAGTCTAGGTGCCATTGAAGCATGGGGAAGGGGCAAAATGGGGGCAGGTTGTGCCAGGAGGATGGGATCACAGGCAGTCTGTTCTCGGGCGGGGGACAAGGTGAGATCAGAGGGGGCAAGCTGTGCCATGGTGCGGGAGTGGACAAAGTGGGGTTAGAGGATGTTAGGTAATGCCATCGGGTGAGGAGAAAGTGGGGGAGGGGGTGGAGTCAGACAGTGCCATGGGGGACAATGGGAGAGGCGGAGGATGTAAGGGGCGCACTGAGAGGGATGTGCGGGGGAGTAGGTGATGGGGGGCCCTGATGGTGCATATAAGCATTCACGGACTAGAACTAAGTCTGCAGAGCCTGGGACAGCTGACATTCCCACAGTGCCACCAGGAGGCCACGCAGAGCGCTTTGGAGAGCAGGCACCACATGAAGTACCACCCAAGGGATGCAGTTTGACCCCTGCAGCCTTTTGATTGACCAAGCACCCTATTTAATCCTGGAGGGTGCCCCAGGAAGTTGTCTGGGCAACCACACAGACTTTGGGCCTGCTGCAACTCCAGACTTCACCTTGTCTCCTGATCCCAGTCCAACAATGACCCTGACTCTTGCCTCCTGACTTCACCCTGATACTACCTCTGCTCTCTGGTCTCCAACCCCAGCCTGACTCTGACCCTGACTCTTGCTTACTGAACCCAGCTCTAGCGATTCCTCTGACTCCTGCTCACTGACTATCATCCCTGACGTGTAGACCCCAGCCCAGCTGTGACTGCTAAGCCAGACCATCTATGTCCTAGTCTTACAGTTTGTCCAGACCCCTTCCGATCCCCTCTGCAGCAGCCCCTGAGCAGGGTTATGGAAGGGGCGGGTCTACTATTGCCCACTGGACTCCATGGAGTACCGGATCTCCAGGAGCAGGTTGCACGACTCCAAACCGAGAACCATCTGCTGCAGTCCCAATTGATGCAGCTCCTAGCAGAAAATCAGACATGTCGCGAGCAGCTAGCATGGTCTCAGAAAGAAAATTCCATGCTCCAGGATTGGGTTGGGCCCTACTGCCTTTTGAACAGGGCCCTACAGTACCACTACCCAAATGTTTGGATGGGAACATAAGAACGGCCATAAGGGGTCAGAACAAAGGTCCATCCAGCCCAGTATCCTGTCTGCTGACAGTGGCCAATGCCAGGTGCCCCAGAGGGAATGAACAGACAGGTTATCATCACGTGATCCACGCCCTGTCACCCAATCCCAGCTCTGGCAAACAGACCATTCCTGCCCATCCTGGCTAATAGCCATTGATGCACTTATCTTCCATGAATCTATCTAGCTCCCTTTTGAACCCAGTTATAGTATCGAGCTTCACAACAGCCTCTGGCAAGAAGTTCCACAGGTTGACAGTGAAAAAATACTTTCTTGTGTTTGTTTTAAATCTGCTACCTATTAATTTCATTTGGTGGCCTCTTGTTCTTGTATTATGAAGAGTAAATAACACTTCCTTATTTACTTTCTCTATACCACTCATGACTTTATATACCTCTATCATATCCCTCCTTAGTTGCCTCTTTTCCAAGCTGAAAAGTCCCAGTCTTATTAATCTCTCCTAATATGGAAGGCATTCTATCCCCCTAATCATTTTTATTGCCCTTTTCTGAACCTTTTCCAATTCCAGATTGTGTGCAGGCTGCCAGAGTTGTCACCAAACTGGATCTCCAGGGCGCCTACAATCTAGTGCACACAGTCAACCTGAGAAACTCCTTGCCTGGGGAAGTTGTGAAGGCTAGGACTATAACAGATAAATTCATGGAGGTTAAATCCATTAATGGCTATTAGCCAGGATGGGTAAGGACTGGTGTCCCTAAGGACTGGTGTCCCTAGCCTCTGTTTGTCAGAGGGTGGAGATGGATGGCAGGAGAGAGATCACTTGATCATTACCTGTTAGGTTCACTCCCTCTGGGGCATCTGGCATTGGCCACTGTCAGCAGACAGGATACTGGGCTGGATGGACCTTTGGTCTGACCCAGCCTGGCCATTCTTATGTTCATCAGGGCAGGAGACAAATGGAAGACTGCCTTTTGAACTCATTATGGGCACTTTCAATATCTAGTAATGCCATTCAGGCTGACCAGCATTCCCACGATCTTTCAACACTTTGTGAATGATGTATTTAGAGACACCCTCGATCAGCATGTGTCATCTACCTCGATGATATACTTGCGTTTTCAGATAATCCCAAGCAGCATTGTTATGACATTGGTTTCATCCTGAAAAGGATACAGAAGTGTGGCCTGTTCATGCAACTGGAAAAATGTACCTTTGACCAGTCCCCTACAGAGTTCTTGGGTTACATCCTTTCCTCAAACAGCATCAAGATGGACCCCCAGAAGGTGGAGGCCATCTGCAATTGGGCAGTGCCCAGGTCCCCCCATCCTGAGCTTCCTAAATTTTTACTGACAGTTCATTCCAGACTTCTCAGGGCAAACAGCCTCCTCCTGCACACGGCTGTCAAATTTGTTTGGACACCGGAAGCTCATCATGCTTTCGAACAGCTCAAAGCTGCTTTCACCACCACTCCTGTCTAGCACACCAAGCCCAAGCATTCACAGTGGAAGCTGATGCCTCCAGTGTAGCCATTGGGCCATACTCTCTCAGAGGCATGGTCCACATCAAGTGTTGCACCCCTGTGCCTACTACTCCTGAACACTCAATTCTGCCAAACAGAATTATGAGATATTAAATCAGGAGCTACTCACAATTAAATCAGCCTTTGAAGAATGGTACCATCTCCTCAAGGGACACAGAAACCCAGTCCAAGTCTTTTCTGAATATCTGTCTAAGGTTTGAACTTTGAACCAAAGACATCTCAGGTGGGCATTATTCTTCTCAGTTTGATTTCATCATCATCTATCACCCAGGAATAGGAAAGACAATGACAGGGCGAAGAGCTAACCAAGAACCACTCCGTCTCCCAAAACCTCGGAACTTCCTTCGTGCCAAAATCCACCAAGACCTGCTTGATCTAATCTGATCCACTTTGTGGGGTGATCCATTAGTCCAGGAGGTGACAGAACAGCCTGCGCAAACAAGAGCCAGAACCAAAATGCAGTGCTCCACACAGGACGGGATCACCCACCTCAATAGGCACACATACATTCCCATGGCTAGAAGTGCTCCATCTGCCACAACACTCCATGGGGAGGCCACTTTGGCCTCCTTAAGACTTTCCACACGGCTTCCTGTTTCTTCTGGTGGCCCCATAAGCAAGCTAAAGTCCAGGACTAGGTTGACTCTTGTGACCTGTGTGCGCGCACCAAGATGCCTCATGTTAAGCCCCTCGGCACCCTAGTACCCCTGGAGACCCCACCTATACCATGGGCCTCAATCAGCATGGACTCCATAGTGGAACTCCCTGACTCTCATGGCCACACAGTAGCCTTAATTGTGGTAGACCAACTGACCAAAACGGTGCACTTCATCCCCTGTAACAGCCTGCTCTCTGCTGAAAACACAGCTTGACTACTAGTGGTTTATGTGGTCTGCCTTAATGGGCTTTTGGATCAGAGAGAGGCCTGCAGTTTGTCTCTCGCTTTTGGAGTGAAGCACTCCAGCTAATGGACATTCATGCTTTTACCTTCTTCACATACCACCCGACACACAGATAGGCAGACAGAGAAGGTGAACCAAGTATTAGAGCAATACCTAAGGTGCTTTGTCAACTACCATCAAGATAACTGGTTCTCCCTCCTTCCTCATGCCAAGTTCTCATCCAACACTGACCAGGCCTGCACGGGGCAGAGCACCTTCTTTGAAAATTACAGGTTTCACCCTTGTTTCCACTTGGCCTTGCCAGCAGCCTCTCCAAACCCAGCCACTGCCAACTGGATCAAATAAATTCATCATATCCAGGAGGAGCTTAAGGACCACCTTGAAGACACAAAAAAGGAAAATAAGTGGTACTCAGACCATTCACACCAGGAAGACCCAGTTTTCACAGTGGGTCGAAAAGTCTGACTCGCAGCAACGCGCCTCCATATAAACACGCCATCTCACAAGCTAGACCACCAGTTTCTCAGACCTTTCTGGATAGGTTAGCAAATCCACCCTGTCACCTTCAAATTGCAGCTCCCTCGATCTGTTTTCATAAGACCATAAGAACGGCCATACTGGGTCAGACCAAAGATCCATCCAGCCCAGTATCCTGTCTGCTGACAGAGGCCAATGCCAGGTGCCCCAGAGGAAGTGACCCTAACAGGTAATGATCAAGTGATCTCTCTCCTGCCATCCATCTCCACCCTCTGACAAACAGAGGCTAGGGACACCATTCCTTACCCATCCTGGCTAATAGCCATTAATGGATTTAACCTCCATGAATTTATCTAGTTCTCTTTTAAACCCTGTTATAGTCCTAGCCTTCACAACTTCCCCAGGCAAGGAGTTCCACAGGTTGACTTTGCGCTGTGTGAAGAACTTCCTTTTATTTATTTTAAACCTGCTGCCCATTAATTTCATTTGGTGGCCCTTAATTCTTATATTATGGGAACAAGTAAATAATTTTTCCTTATTCACTTTCTCCACACCACTCATGAATTTACATACCTCTCTCATATCCCCCAGTCTCCTCTTTTCCAAGCTGAAAAGTCCTAGCCTCTTTAATCTCTCCTCATTCCAAACCCCAAATCATTTTAGTAGCCCTTCTCTGAACCTTTTCTAATGCCAGTATATCTTTTTTGAGACAAGGAGACCGCATCTGTACACTGTACTCAAGATGTGGGCGTACCATGGATTTATATAAGGGCAATAATAGATTCTCTGTCTTATTCTCTATCCCCTTTTTAATGGTTCCTAATAATTTCCACGTATCCCTCCTGAAACCTAACACATAGGACCCTTTTCCTGATTTATCCCAACAGCCACCCCTGCCAGTCCAGCTCCAAGGGCATGAGGAATATATGGTCCACTCTGTCCTTGACTCTATATTGCAGTGAAGGAGACTGTATTCCCTAACCAATTGGGAGAACTAAAGAACACTCCTGGGAATTCATTGCCCATGTCCATACCCTGAGACGGTAAAAAGGTTTCATCTGGACCACCTGGATAAGCCAAGCCCAGTGCCCATCCATAGGAAGGCTGCCCCTGAAGAAGAGGGATAATGTAAAGATTTGTGGCCTACAACCCAGGTCTGCAGAGCCTGACTTCAGACTTCACCTTGGCTTCTGGTCTCCGATCCCAGCCTGACTCTGGCCTCAACTCTTGCTTACTGAACCCAGCTCTAGCGATTCCTCTGACCTCTGCTCACTGATACCATCCCTGACGTGTGGACCTCAGCTCGGCTGTGACCACTAGGCCAAACTGCCTTCGCACTGGTCCCTTACAGGGTAAGTGATGGGGCAGCAGGAGGGAGCGGTTGGAGGTGCTGGGAGGAGCAGGCAGTAGGGGATGGTGGAGGTGTGGTGATCAGGGGTGCGGTGGGTAGGTCAATGATGAGGCACAGAGATGGTGATGGGGGAACTGGAGATGCTGGGTAGTGGGATAAAGCGTAGGTGAGTGGAGGGATAGGTGATGGGGGGCAGCAGAGGGGGGACAGAGCACTGGGGGCTGGAGGGACAGGGCAGAGGAAGGTGAAGGGAAGCTGGGGGGCGATAGGTGATGGGGGCACTGAGGGAGGGAGGAGAGCATTGGGAGCCGGAGGGGGCCTGATGGGGGGAGGCAGAGGGAATGAGAGGAGCCGGGGGGCAGAGTGGGAGCGGACCTGGGGGGGGCAGAGTGCGGGGACCGGGGGGACCTCGGGAAGGGGTGGGGGGAACGAGAGGAGCAGGCGGGGGAGGGGACCCGGGGGGCAGAGTGGGGAAGGCAGGGCAATGAGAGGAGTGGGGGCAGGGCGGAAGGGTGAGGGGACCTCAGGGGGGAGAGCGGGGGCAGGGGGGAACAAGAGGAGCGGAGGGGAAGGGGGGTGAGGGGACCTCAGAGGGCAGAGTGAAGGGGGTGAGGGGGAAGGAGGGGGATGACAGGACCTCAGGGGGGCAGAGTGGGGGGGGCGGAGGAGAAGGAGAGTAGCGGGGGGGAGGGGACCTCGAGGGGCAGAGTGGGGGGCGAGGGGGAAGGAGGGGGGCGGAGGAGTGGGGGGAAAGAGAGGACCTCAGGGGGCGGAGTGGGGGGCAAGGGTACCATGGGGCGCAGAGTGGGGGGGCAAGGGGCGGAATGAGAGGAGTGGGGGGGACCTCGGGGGGCGGAGCAGGGGCGGGGTGGAAGGAGAGGAGTGGGGGGAAGCGTGGGGGTGGGAGGGCAGGGGAGGGGAGTGGGGAAGGAGAGAACTGGGGGGACCGTGGGGGGGCAGGTTGAGGGGGCAGGGGACAACGAGAGAACCGGGGGAGGACCTCAGAGAGAACCAGGGGGGGAACCATGGGGGGCAAGGGGGACAGGAGAGAACGAGAGAACCGGGGGGCGCGGGGAGAAGGAGAGGACTGGGGGGGGGGACCAAGGGGGTAGGGTGGGGGAGAAGGAGAGAACCAGGAGGGCGCGGGGGGAAGGAGTGAACCGGGGGGAATGCGGGGGGCAGGGTGGGGGAGAACAAAAGAACCCGAGAGGGAACCGTGGGGGCAGGGTGGGGGGGCGGGGGAGAACGAGAGAACCTGAGGGGGGAAAGCGGGGGGAAGGAGAGAACCGGGGGGGACCGCGGGGGCGGGGCGGGGGGCGGGGGGAAGGAGAGGACCCGGAGAGGGACCGAGGGGGGCGGGGTGGGGGAGGGAAGGAGAGGGCGGGGTGGGGACCGAGGG